GAAGAGATGCAAACAATAACCAAAGCCCTTAACTATCTTCACTCATGGACTGTTGCTCGTGTATGTGTGTGTGTGTGTGTGTGTGTGTGTGTGTGTTTCTTTTGTAGTGTGTTCTGACTTATTCTATAGCTTTTCTCTGAATAAAATTTATGTGAGCCTTTATTTCAATTTTTTGAATAAGAGGCCAAGGACCTGGAAACATGTGACCCAGATCCCAACCCTGTAATACTCTGCCAGAGCCTCAGCTACTCCTCACTTGAGCATCATACCCAGCAACTCTTCACAATGAGAGAAGGACAACATGGTAACAAATTCTTGACTTCTTTATTTAAGCAATGCTCAGTTCCCACTAATTAGATAATTCTGCTTAATCTCTTAATTTCCATAGTGAGACCATTCTTATTAGACTATAAAATTAACTCCACTTAAGCACAGTTATAATTATACAAACACTGAGTTTATGGAATGGGATAGGGTTCTTTATAAAAATAGAGAAAGACATCCATCTATGTCTGTATCTAGTACCTATACATAGATACACATAGTTATCAACTAATAATGGTTCATGAAGGACCACAGGCACAGTGATGCTAGGATCACTATGGAACTGAAAAGTTCCTAGTGAGTCTTCGTTTTTTAGACATTCTAAAGTTGTAATAAATGCACCATGAGTTTGTGTTGAGGTAGGTGCCAACAAACCTACTATGCAGCCAGTGATACATAGCACATAAAATTATGTTCAGTACATAATACCTCACAATGATATGTTGTTAGCTTATGTATTTACAATGGTATATTTTTATCATTGGGCTAGAGTGTACATCTACTTATTAAAAAAACATTGCTATAGATCTGCTGCTATGCAACACCAGTAGCAGTCTCATAATATTGTGCTTCCTACCTCCTTCTGGCTAGGGTGCTTAATTAATTGCATACTAAGTATACTAACAACTTTGTGGTATTTTCATATGAGCATATAATCACTTTGATCATGCTTGTTTTTTTTTGTCTTTTGAGACAGGCTCTCACTATGTAACCCTGACTGTCCTGGAGCTTCCTATGCAGACCTATCTGATCTGAAACTCACAGAGATTCACTTACCTTTTTCTATCAAGTAATGGGAATAAAGATGTGTACCACCACACCTGAGAATGTTCACCTCCTTTATTTCCCCTTTTTATCCTCTATCCTAGATTCTTTTATATTCATTATATTCTCCCTTTTACTTTTATGTTTGATTCTTCCTGGCCAATTTCACATATAAAAGAAAATATGTATGCTGGTTAGTTTTATTGTCAACTCAACTTGATGCAACTTAGAATCACCTGGAAAGAGAGAACCTCAATCACCTAGATCAGATTGGCCTATGAAGCAAGTCTATGAGTGATTGTTGTATTAATTGATATAGGAGGGTACAGGCCACTGTGGGCAGCATCATTCCTTAGGCAGATAGACCTAGTCTGTATAGGAATGGTAGTTAAATATGAGCCTGAGAGGGGACAAACCAGAGATCAAGACAACAAGCAGCGTATCCCTATAATTTTGGTCTCTAGATTTCTGCCTTGAGTTCCTGCCTAACCTCACTCAGTGACTGATGATGACCTGGAAGCATAAGCCAAATAAACTAAAGTTCCTGTATGGATCATTTCTCCATCTTGTATTCAAGACTATTTTGCCACACTTTCCAAAAGAAAGAGAAAAATGAGCCCCAGAGCCCATGAATATAACACATTGAGTCAATGAATGCAGTTTACAATTATAATTTACATTCCATTTTCAGGAAGGATTTACAATATTATAAAAAGTGGGTTCTGGAATCCTGCCAAGTTCTCCAGCAGGGATAATACACCACCATCTGTGATTCTATATTCTTTGAAAATCTGTTTTACAGCATGCTATGGCTTTGGGGACTACTGATTTATTTACGTAACAAAATGGAAGATCTTTGTCAAAAGCCAATGTGACGTAGCATCTGACCCAATGACTACCCTCACTACATGCTATGGTTTAACTTTGGTCCCCAGAAAGTCATAAATTATGAAGGTGATTCTTCATGCCATGATGGTGGAGGTTTTAGTAAGAGGGATTCATGCCCAACTGATGGGACTAGGTTAACTCTCATCCTAACAGGACAAAACTAGTTTCATTACAGCTTGGGAAGATGTCTCCATCAATAGTGTTTGCTCTGTAAACACAGAGACCCAAGTTCAATTCCCAGCGCTCATATAAAAGCTGGGTGTGGCAAACACCTATAATCCCAGTGCTGGGGAGATGAAGACAGGCAGGTCCCTGGGTCACTGGTCAGTCACTCTGGCTAAGATAAAGAGTTACAGGTTTATGAGAGACTCTATCTCAAAAATAAGCTGGAGAGTGAGTGAGGAAGACATCTAACTTTGGCCTCTGGTTTGCACATACACACACAGAGACAGACAGACAGAGAAAGACAGAGACAGAGAGAGACACAGAAAGAGACACACACAGAGAGAAGATTGTTACTAAGAAAGGCTACCTTGTTTGCAGCTATCCTGCTTGCTTTCTCCCTGTCTTCCATGTTTCCCTACTTGCCCTTCCAGCTTCTACCATGTTTTAAAGCAGTGCCGGGCTCTTATCTTGGACTATCTATCATCTAGAGCCATGAGCCTAAATGGAGTTCTTTTCTTTGCAACTTACCCAGTCTCAAGTACTCTGCAACAGCAATAGAAAATCAATTAAGTTCTCGTAAGGGAAAGGCCTTGCCTTCTGTACAAGCGAAGATACAGATTCTAAATACTAAACACATTCGCCAGTGTTAAGTTGAAGGTTACTGTGGTTGGCTCAGTTTAACATTTACACATATTAAAGTACGCATTCTCACTGAAAGTTATACCTGCCAAAATTGAGCCTGCCAATTTTCCCCACCACATAAGATCTTACCAATGTCATTTTACAGACAAACAAGTGCAGGAGAGCCAGTAGTGCTACAAGCATCATTTAGACAAGGATGTTGTTCTTCTTGGTAATATTCTTCAGGGACACCTAGGCTTGCCTTCAAGAATGGATGCTCTCAAGGGTACCAGTTAAGTCACAAGAGAGTAAGGATGATAAGGTTTTCAAGTGTCTAGAAGGTCATGTTACTGGCCACCAGCTGATTTTTTGTGCTCTTATTTCTGAGCTTAGAAACCCCAAACAAGCAAATGAAACCCACAATTGAACAAAACAGACCACACTTTTATGGACGGCAGATGTGTGTTTGTAGAAGGAAATGTGTGAAGGTAAGTGTTCACTCTTGGGTGCTGATAGTCAAGCCACATTCCCATAGGTCATGCTAGGATGTTAAACAAGACAGGTCACTCCATTTGAAGGCAACATACTCCAAACAGCCTTCTAATGATGTTGAAATTTGATTTAAAAAATAGGCCTCCAAAAATGGTCACATAATCTTAATTTGTATATCTTAAAATAACTTTTACCCTTTAAAAGTTTAGTGTTGCTGTATTACCTTGAAAATGCCATGGTTCTAATGACCACTGTCCCCTTATAACATAATTTCAGTTTCTTTAGCTATGGGTTGTTCTCTTCTTTTTTGAGATTATAGTTTAATTAATTACATTATTTCTATCTTTCTTTTCCTCCCTCAAAACCCTTCCCATTCTCCTTTAAAATGAAGGTCTTTTTTTACTAATTGTTATTGCATACATATGTGTATTCCCAAATGTAACCTGTTCTGTCTGTATAATGTTACGTGTGTGTGTGTGTGTGTGTGTGTGTGTGTGTGTGTGTGTGTGTGTGTGTGTGTTTTCAGGCCTGACCGCTTGGCATTGGACAACCTATTGGTGTGCTCTTCCCTGGAGAATACCACCCCTCCCACTCCCAGCTTTCCTCAGTTGCTTGAATTCTTTGTATCGGGTTGAGGCCTTGTGTGCTTTTCTCTGTCCACCTTGGCATGTCCATTTGTGTCATCCTTGCTCAGTTCACATTTGGGCAGCCATGTTGGCGCGACTTTATGGGCATAGCTTCTGATATCACTAGGAGACACAATCACTAACTGTGGGATTTTAAATCTATCTGCCAAGGTCTGACACTGGGAACACCAGGCGACAAGTAGACAAGATTTGTTAACTAGGATGGTGAGCCCAGAGGATGTTTCTAGTACAGGCAACTTCATGGGCTGCACCTCTGTATGCTATCATCCTGACATCTGTTAAGATCAGAGAGGGCTCTGCTTTTATCCCGTCAGCCTGCTAACAGTCTTTGAATACTTACAACGAGCAAAGCACAGGTGACAGCTTGCACAGTGCAGTCAGCAATGGGGAAGCAGCAAACAGAAGTCATGGGCAGGGAGATGTACAAAATAAGGTGGCTTGCTGAGTAACCAGAGCTTAAAACTTGGAGTACCCCATCCCCTTTCTCACCCGCTATTCCTCACTGGTACTAACTACATAAGCTCCCAGCAGGGCTCCAGCTGCCACCTGTCTCCATGAAGGCCAGAGAGTACTTGAGTTGATCTTGTTCCTTGACTCTCTCCTTTCCCGGTGTAAACATCTGGCAGACTGGGGATAAAGCCAAGGGTCTGGTCCTTGGTCACGCTAATGGCGGTGCTTAGTGGATGGCTCCCTCTCCAGCAATCCTGATGCAGCCCTGCAGAGCTCTGCTCACTAGACCAGGAGGCGGCAGGCAGAGGTGACAGTGACACAGCACTCTTCCCACCTCCATGAGTTTGCTGGCACTGAGGGCTTCTTCAGTAAGGGATGTGGGAAAGTAGAAGCTGTGTACGCCTATGAAGGCAAGGCCCGTTTCCATATCCTCCATGTTTCATAAAGACCAAATGAAATCTTTTATGGGGTGGGAGGAGAATGAAGAGTTTCTGTGACCATTCTGTGTTTCTTTAAACATAAGCAGGAGACAAAAGCCCAAGAACATACCTGGCAATGACTGTGCACATGGGTGGCTCATATGTGTTTTTTTTCCACATATGACATTTCTTCCAGTTGCCACTGATATTGTTGATAATTTTTCTTTTCCACGAAGGTATGTTGCTTGGCTTTGGAGTTAGACTAACCTCTCTTGGCAACTGATGTCTTGCTAGGACCTTTTCCAAGCCAGAGAATTCAGGATTCTCACCTGGTGGTAGAATAAGTATTAACATGATTCAGTGTTCATTTGTACCTCTGCACAGCAAGATTCTTTAAAGTCTTTGTGTGTGTGCCAGGAGCTAAGGATGGAACCCAGGGTCTCACATGTTAGGTATACCCCCAGCTGTCTTCTGGCAATTTAGTAATTACCTCTCAGCTCTGCCACCATTTTATCTCAGCAAGATTTCTTATCATCTTAGTCTAATAGATGCATTCACTAAAATTTCATGCATTAAGTGTACTAAGACCAGTGATAATATTGTTGGTTCCTTAAGTACAGTTTGCAGACTAATAGTAAGCTGTAATACCATTGTTATAAGTATTATTTTATTATTATCATGCATTTTGAAACTTCCCAGATGAATGAGTGGGGATTATAAACTTGCTTTTAATTTGGAGCTCCATCTTTCTGCTGTTTTGCCTAAGAATTGTTCTGCATTTGGAGATCCAATAACTGAGACTTGGGATTTAGACCTTTGTCTCCTACTGCTGGAGCTCTCTGGGTGGCCACAGCAGTGATGATGACATAATGTGGAACTGCCTTGAGAAGATAAGGTTTCCACCCTGTTATCAAAACTGGCAGACACAAAGAAGGAAGGATTATTCTGGCACATAGTTTAGAGGGCTCGATACACGATCACTTGATCCCTCAAGTTTGGGCAGAATATCATGACTGTAGGAACAAGTGCCATAAGAGAACTGTCTCCTCCATAGCTAACCAGGAACCAAAAAGCAAATCAGAAAGTTGCCAGTAATAATGTGTCCCTAAGTTACCTACTTCTTCCAGTTTGATTCCACTTACTAGGTCTCTGGAGTCACTCAAAATAGTGCCACCATCTGGGACCAAGCATTCAAACCATCAGTTTATGGAGGACGTTAGATCCACAGACCATACACCGACACAGCAGAAGATTCCAGAACCGCTTACATATGCCTGCCCTTCACATGAGCAAGGGAAAAGCTGAGAGAGAAAAAGGCAGACTCAGCACATCACCACTGCCTTCCCCTGGCTTCAGAGTCTCAGTCCACCAGAGCAGAGCGAAGTGGGAAGAATCTAAACACACCAAGAGTGGATTTCAAAGCTTCTATCAGAACTGATATTTCATTTGCAATATAACTCCTCAAAGCTATGCAATTCACCTGTAATTCAACTAAAGGTAGCAACAAAAGTCAATAGAATGGAGCAAAAGGAAGAGCTAAGGTAGGGCAGAGTAACAAAGTAGCTGGTTTGTGAAGTTCTGTGCTAAGTGGCTTAAATTTTGTGTGTGTTCCTTATGTAATGCGGAGTATATAATATAACTTGGATATATGGGTTTATTCATAATTCTCTGGATTAGGATGAAGGGATTAACTTGAATACAATCAATTTAGTTCCAACAGGTAAATGTGTATCAGCCCTCGCCTTCATTTGAACCAGTGTGTAAGTTTCTATTTTGTCTTCTAAGTTTTTGCCATCTACCAGTATCTTACAGTTATTCAAACAATTTAAGGTTGGGTTCAAGTACTGCAAATCAAATTCTCAACCATCCTGACCCAATTTAAGACCACCAGGCCACTCCAAACTACAAAAACTAGAGACTACTCGCTATATGGAGTGGCGTATGCCTATGGTCTCAGATACTTAGGAATCTGAAGCAAGAGGATGACTTGAACCCAGAAATTTCAGACCATCTTGGGCAACCTATCAAGACTCAATCTCAAAATAGCAATACTAAATAATAAAAAAATATATATCTACAATTACTTTAAGGGGAATAACCAAGTTCTTCCTAGCAAAAGGAGAAGGGAATAGCAGAGAATTGAAGCAAGGAATGAAGTTTGTAATCTGACCCTCACCTTGAAAGTTCTTGCACTAATCTCAACATCAAAACTACACCTTAATTTGTAACGAGGACACCTGTACATGGCTCATGGTCATCTTTCCACAGGAGTATTTTGGCAGGCAGTGGTGGCACATGCCTTTAACCCCAGCACTTAGAAAGCAGGTGGATCTCTGTGAGTTCGAGGATGACCTGGTCTACAGAGCGAGTTCCAGGACAGGCTCCAAAGTTATACAGGGAAACTCTGTTTCAAAACATCAAGAAAGAGAGAGAGAGAGAGCAAATGAACCCTACCCATGGGCAAATTCACAGCCCATTCTGAGATCATAGACTTATCAAACCATGATGTGACGTGGGTCTCATGAACTGATGGCACCCGCATTGTCAAGAAGTTAATGCCCACGACTACCAGAAGAAGATTCATAATGACATGCAAATATAGGCATTCTCATTTGCTCCCCCTCCCCACTTACATTTGATTTTGTCACTTTCACTTCTATAGGAATGAAGTCCTTCCACCATTTGATTCGGAAGCAACTTGTGAAGGTTAGAGAGAAGGTCGAATGTGTGACACAGGGTGTCGGGCTGGGCATAATTTTTCATCTTCTCATAGAGGTTTATGAATGAAGGATTGTTGTTGCCTGTTCCCATGATGGCCTGTTAAGTTAAACAGAAAACCAGATAGAGCACACGAAACATGCCGGCATGTCTTGTGACTGACTAGTCTTTGCCTCAGCTTGCTGCCACCTCCAGGAGGAGGTGATGGAAGAAGCTGTCTGGTCTCTGACTGATTTGCATTCTGAGCATCACAATGACCCAAGTATTGGCCTGGAACCCTCAGAACTTGTTCTGCACCTTCAAAGCAGAGAAAAGCTGCCTAGGGAAGGTATCTTGCCAAATAATTTAGAGATTTTTCCACAGAAATTCCAGTTTCCTGTCTGGATATGGATGAGTTCTAAGGAGAAAAAGTGAGTTTTCCTGAAAGGAAATCAATTGATGTGCACATAGCCCATGCTATCCTCCCCTTCTAGAGGCCTTGTACCTGGTGTGTGTATAATTAAGACTTCATAGACCTAGGAGGCCCCAAAGAGAGTGTTTACATCAGCACTGCTCCCTGTAGACCTAAGGAAGAGCTTTATGGTCCTAAACTAAGGAAATGTCCAGATTAATACAGGTAAGGGGATTGTCTGCTTTTTACTCTTCTTTTTCCAGATTGCTAAAAAAACAAACAAATAAAACCTCTTTAGTGTTAGTTTTTCTTCACTATAGGCCAAGAAGCAGAGGGAAAAACTAATACTAAATAACAACAAAGCCCCAAACTTCATAGCCCAGCTGGAGCAAATGAGAAGCAACCAAGAACCACTTCTCAGTTTGCAATGAAACTGCAAATAATAGCATGGTTATAGTAGCCCCTTGGTTATCAGTCCACCAGCCATACAGGGCACCAGAGTTCCCTATGCTTCTCAATGCTTGTTGAACTGGATTGCAAGCCACAATGCAAAATGGTGAGACCATGTGCCATACACTCTTGGTAGCCTAAACAGCTCTTGTTGGTTGGCTTTTAGCTGCACTGCAAAGTCTTGGGCAAAACCTTAAAATAACATGGCTGTACTCTATGGATCATTTATGTCCAGAGCAGGAAATGAGAAGTTCCACTTTTTTATCTTTAACTTTCAACCTAAAAGAGTGAAGACTTAAAAAAAAAAAGAAACAAATAAACCCATTTAAATGTATAGAACTAAAAGAACCACTTAAATGCAAAGTGTCTCTCAATATTGCATAAGAAGTTTTGGCTGAAGAAAGGAAATGACAGAGAAAGGAGGACAGGATATGATGACAACTGGAACACACACACCCTGGCTTGCTTCTTCTAAGCAAAGTTGAATGCATAGCTCTAAGCCTTCATTTTCATATATGGAAAAGGAAGAAACCATTTTAAAATGTCTTCTTTTACACTGTGTAAATTGACCTAAATTGTAACAAAATATAATGGGTCTGTATTTGGGGAACCATAAGGCCATGAAATAAAGGAATGGAGAAAGACTTACTACCCATCACAGGACAACATGGGTTATTTCCAAAGCAGCATCCCCCTAGAGCAAAACAAAACACATAGATTTCATTGGAAAAGCTGACACATAGTCATATAGAAAAGCACTTTAAGAATGGGCACATTCTTGAGCAAACTCTGTTTTGGTGTAGGAGGTTCTGTCCATGTGTTGCTTTCACTGGCTAATGAATAAAGAAACTGCTTTGGGTCTGATAGGGCAGAACTTAGGTAGGCAGAGAGTACAGAACTGAATGCTGGATGCTCTGGTAGGTCAGAGAGATGCCATGGATCTTCTACCTGAGATGGACGCTGGTTAGAATCTTGCCGGTAAGCCACAGTCATGTGGCGATACACAGATTAATAGAAATGGGTTAAATTAAGATGTAAGAATTAGCCAATAAGAAACTAGAGTTAATGGGCCAAGCGGTGTTTTAATAAATACAGTTTCTGTGTGGTTATTTTGGGTGTAAGCTAGCCAGGCAGCCGGGACAAACAAGGGACCCTCTCCTTGTAACATTTGGCACTTAAACATGGTCAACTAACTCCATGTAAAACCTGAGAGGGCTTGAAAAGGAATTCTAGACACAAATATAGAGTTTAACACAGCTTTTTGCTGTTTGCTGGCAGCATATGGCAGAGAGATTTTTCTGGCTCAGCAGCCTAAGCGGGAAAAAAGTGGCAGTTTCAAAATACCAGCTTTCTGGGCTATGCCACCAGCGCAACCTCTGTCTCTTGCGAGAGACAGAGCATTTGGATGGGTTTTGTGAGCAGATTGTTGCAGCTTGCTTGATGGCAACGTGGACCAGCTTTGTGCCTAGAAGTTGGTCAGTGTGCGTGGCTCAGAGATGCAAGCAGCTCTGCCATGCTGAAATGTGCAGAATGCGAGGAGGAACTACCATATTTACCATAATAACAGAGCTGCTGTTAGACTGGGCAGGCAAATAGGTGTTACTGTATTACCCTTACTAATGGCACAATTTAAGTTTATAAGAAGCGCTTAACATTTTAAGAAGTGCTCCTGGACAGTTAAGAATTACAGATTCACAATAGGACAGATTCAGACATAAACGATCTCTAAATGGGTCACAGTATTGGATAAATGTACATAGGCTTGGGAGAGAGAAGAGAAAGAGTATAGATAGTCATAAAATAAAGCTAATACTTAAAAAATGGTAAAGTCTTTAAAGAGACATAGTACAGATAATCGTAGATTAGAGAAAGTAAAGAAAAGTAAGCCACATAAAAATAGAAAATTCACAGAGAGTCTGGATTTTGTATATTATTGTGTTTTCTTTAAATTTTTTGACTGGGGAAGGGCTAAGTACAGAGAGACATTTCATTGTATGGGCTGCTAAGCTAAGCCAACATGTATATTATAAATGTATCTTGACTTCAGAGTTTGGGTCTAAGGATATGGTGCTTTGGAAAAGAGGTTTTTTGTTTGTTTTCACAGAAGATGACAACCTGTGGATTGCTTCTAGACCAATATGGTATGATAGACCATGCCCCCCTGAAAGGTTGCTGTGAACACCCTCAAATCATTATTACTTTGCTCAATTGCTGACTGAGATGAACCTAGCACACAGGATACACCATGAACGACATGATTAACAGCACCCCCATATAGCATGAAGCAGTTTGGAGAGAAAAAACTATGCCCATATTCCCAAATATTGTTTATAACTGTTTGTTTACATTTAAAGGGGGATATGATATAGATATAAATAATTTGCATTCGTATGAATCTTGCTCTATTGATACTAATTTAAGGACAATTTTGTTATATGTATATGTATTTCTGATCTTGATTAAAGTGTTGTGATTGCATAGTTCATTTAAAAATGTAATGTATAATTAAGAAATATAGGTTAATAGATAATCATCTATAATAGTCAAATTTGTAATCATGTTAGATTTTCTAGATTACATAGATATATTTTAGATGGATAGGAATTCTTCATATCTTTCAAAGACTACAGAATATGGCATTTAAAATGTTTTAATAACTTAGGACTTTTCATGACAATGAGATGCATCTGCTCCTGACAGCACCAGCTACATCAAGAGGAAGATGGACATCGAAGAGGCTCCTTATGGAGCTTGCTAGTCATTTGGGCAAGAAATTGCTCTTGCCTGGACTGCTTCACTGGACATGCAGTACCCACCAAGAGGTGACTGCTGAACTTGCCTAAAGGTGAGATGGTCCTTTGGGGTTCCTGCTTCATGAAAGAGTCTGCGAGACATTCTGTAGGACACAGAAGAAAGTGACTTAACTTTCTTTGAAATTTCCTGCTTCGTGGAAAAGTCTGCTAGATACTATGGGCCTGAAAGACAAAGATGAATGTCCCAATGGTACAGAAGAACATTGGGTGACTGTCCAGGCATCAAGATGTCTCTGTCATTTCTAGAGTTTTGGAAGCTTACAATGCACTTTCTGTTCACTTAGGTGATATTATATCCTTCTGGAGTCTTTGATGGAGTTGAAGAATTTATAGTTATAATTATAGATTTCCTTAGTTATGATAAAAGATAAAGTAGATATAAGTATTATAACTGTAATTCTTATTTAATACCTGTTTTGTTATATGTAACTTTACTATATTAAAGTTAAAGGCTTTTTTGTTTAAACGGAAAAGGGGAAATGGTGTAAGAGGTTCTTCTGTTTATATGTTGCTTTCATTGGCTAATGAATAAAGAAACTGCTTTGGGCCTGATAGGGAGAACTTAGGTAGGTGGAAAAGGCAGAACTAAATGCTGGGAGGAAGAAGGGCAGAGTCAAAGAGATACCATGGATCTTCTACCTGAGACGAACGCTTGTTAGAATTTTGCCAGTAAGCCACAGTCACATGGTGATACATGGATTAATAGAAATGGGTTAAATTAAGATGTAAGAATTAGCCAATAAAAAACTAGAGCTAATGGGCCAAGCAGTGTCTTAATAAACACAGCTTTTGTGTGATTATTTTGAGTGTGAGCTAGCTAGGCAGCCGGGACAAACAAGGGTCTCTCTCCTTGTAACACCGTTTAAGGTTATAATTCAGGAAGGAAAGATGACAGGCACATTTGCTCAGCTCAAGGTTGTGAACCACATGCTTGAAAGGTTAAAACTATGAACAAGAATGCATCTGGGCCTGTTGCCTAATAAACTTTGGGCTGAAAATAAAGGAAATGTCATGTTGAAGCTGTGTTGATATAGGAATTTGTTTCTAAAAGTTGCCTAACGGTAGTGACTAATAAAGTTTTGTTTGTTTTTTAGACAGGGTTTTATTATGTAGCCCTGGCTGGCCTGGAATTTCATATGTAGACCAGAAATGATGACCTCAAACTTGCAGAGATCTGCTTGCCTTTTCCTCATGAGAGTTAGGATTAAAGGTGTGCACAGCTATGCCTGACTAACAATATGCTCTGAAGTGTTACTCTAGGTAGACTTGATGGAATGTTCATAGGTAACTGACGCTTTGAACATTGACTGGAAACAGAAGTAGGTCATGATTAAAAGTTATTCCTGAAAAAATTGACTATTGATTATGAGAAAAACAAAATAGGAGCTGGAAAGATGGCTAAGTCATTATGGAGCACTTCATTTGCTGCTCTTACAGAGGACCCAGATTTGGTTCTCAGCACTCACATGGTAGCTTACAACCATTTGTAGTTCCAGTCCCAGGAGTTCCCACACCCTCTTTGAGCCTCTTCAGGCTCCAGGCATGGCACGTGTGGTGAATATACATATATGCAGGCAAAACATTCATACATATAAAATAATAAAAAAATTAAATAAAATAAAACCCTAAAAACAGAAGACAATATAAAGTGCTGGCAAGAGGGCAGAGAGATGGGAACTTTAAAATCCCCTTTTGTTGTGAGTAAAAATGGTAACTGGGACAATAGCCATTGAGAAAAACAGTACTGAGGTTCATTCAAAACTTTAAAAGCAGAGCTAGGGTAGAGCCAACCATTCCAATTCTGGGTAATTCAAAGGAAATAAGATTTTTATGATGACGAGACACCTGCATACCTCTGTTCTTCAAAGGACTGTGACAATAGCCAGCATATGGGGAGGATGCCTAGCTGACCACCCATCAACAGATAAATGGATAAAGAAAGAGTACATAGGCAGAGCCTGGTGGCCTTTAACCCCTGCGCTCAAGAAGCAGAAGCAGGCAGACCACTGTGAGTTCAATGCCAGCCTGATCCACACAGAGACCTGTGTCAAAAAGAAAAAGAACTGTCCATATACACATTAGAATACTGTTTCAGCCGTTCTGTTGTGAAACAGACCATCAGATGAATTTTCCTTTTGGCCTGGTTCTGATTTTCTACAATAAGTAAGACTTGTAGGAGCCATTGCCATTCGCTTTTTTTCTAAGCATACTGTGGTGGAAGGAACTTTGGGATGGGAACTCAGTGAGGTTGGAAGACTGGCCACATACTGCAGACTGCTAGCATGATGGTCTTGGTCCAAGCTTCTAGACAGAGTCCAGCCTGCATTTCTGAGTCCAGATGCAGCAAATGTTTGTGTTTTTAATCTTATTTCCAATTATTTCCCCCAATGAACAATGCCATGAGAATTCTGCTGTGCCCAGTGCCCTTGCCTTGCTGCATGAGGGTGAGTTGCCTTGCCACCAGACTTACTAAATAAATTGGTCCCGCAGCACGGGGCAGAACAGGGCAGCACCCAGGGTTGTTTTTTCTTCTCCTACAACTAGCTCTTAGGTAACGAGCAATTTCCTTTCTTTTTTGTTATTTCAAAGATGGCTCCTGTGTCTCCTGAGCACCTTCCGCTGCCAACAAGCCACAGCTGTGCGTTTGACAAGGCCAGCTGGCTCCCAGAAGGCAGAGTGTTCAGCAACGTTCAGAAAGAGAAGATCATCTCCAGGTTTCTCAAAGGAAGCGTCCTAAAGAGAGTATTTGGCTCGCAGCAGCTGAGGTGGGAGGGCTCCAACTCCCAGAAAGAGGATCCCAGCTCAGCATGTCCTAGTGCCAGAAAGTAAGTCCCTATTAAAAAGTAGACCCAAACTCAAAGTAAGCTTATCCCAGGCAGCCAGGAAAATAGATCCGTACCAGCATCCAGAGAACCAGAAGGCTTAGGCAGAAATGCAAACCCGGGGATCAAGTCCAGCCATAAGAGTGAAATAAAATAGGAAGCATGTGACTGAGAATGTGTTCCAAACACCAGCTGTAACACTGGCACAGGATGTGGGATTCACCAATGTGTGTGCTTCTCTCGTTTGAAAAATGTTTTTGTACCTCACTCCCATCCACCGTAGGAACAAGTAAATTTGAAAAAAAAATTTCTAGTATTTTTTTCTTTGGAATAAAATGGTAGCTTCCCAAGTAGGATCATATTGTTACGGAGGTAAACATTAAAGATTAATTTTGTTGGCGTTGCTTGCTTTGTTTTGTTTTTTCCAGACAGGGTCTCACCCTGTGGCTATGGCTGTCCTGGAACTTACTCTGTAGACCAGACTGGCCTTGACAACACAGAAATCCACCTACCTCTGCCAGGATTAAAGGCCTGCAGCACTACTCCAGGCAAAGGTTGAGTTTTGAAATAAAACTTTAAAGTAGAAAGTGAAAAAAGAAATCCTTCAAAGTGAAAACATTTTACTCATTTTTCTTTAAAAGGACCCATACAGACTCAAGAAAGCTAGGATAGTCATGATTAATGATCATAAAAGCAAAACCTGAATTTGGGAGAAAGAGAATCAGCTACTACCAAAAGGCGTAGATAGGGGGGATGAAATAAAATCAAATTATTAATCCAAAGCATATACTAATAGTATCTGTCTACCAGTGATCTGAGATGTTTCCCACTGGTCAAATATATTTTTTAAATTATGTATTCATTTTTTTGTGTGTACAGGTGTTTTGCCTTCAAGAATGTCTGTGAACCATCTGCATGTCTGATACTAAAAGAGGCCAAAAGAGGGCATTAAATCACCTGGGACTGTAGTAACAGACAGTCCTGAGCTGCCATGTGGGTGCTGAGAATCAAACCTGGGTCCTCTAACCCCTGATCAAGTATCTTATTTAAGCACCACAAAAATGCAAATTGTTAATTAGAAAATACTGGCTAACTTTGTGAAATTTGTTTACACAATCATTCTGAAGGAGATTCTGCGGTCATGTATACCTGAAAGATGAGTATCAAAATGTGAAAGGCACCGAGAGACAGGCAGAAAAGGAAATATTTTCCCTAGGGAATAACTGAGAAATATTGAGGTGCGTCCCACAATAGTATCGTTCTGTGGTCATTTTATCTCTGCCATAAGAAGAGAAGCCAAGGTGGGCTTACTGAACACTCAAACTCCTAACCCAAGGTTTGCTATCATTTCCTCTGATTCAAACCTCTGCCGGGGACTGGAGAGATGGCTCGGCAGTTAAGAGCATATATTGTTCCTGAAGAGGACCTAAGTTCTATTTCCAGCACCCACATCAGGAAGCTCCACAACAACTTGTAACTCCAACTACAGGGAATCTGACAGTCCTTTGACCTCCTCAGAAACATAAGTAAAATAATAACAAACCTTCTCTTCTGTAGTTTGTAGAAAAGATTGGCAAACACTACGAGACAGAGAACATTCACCTTATTCTAGTTCAGTTTCAAAAACACGTTTCCCTCTGTACTAACTAGAAAGGTGCAAATTTAAACTAAGGCCATCTTGAAACTATGTCTAAGAACTGAATGCCGGCCATGGCCTTGAGGGCAGGTACATTCTCTTTGGCCAATGGTGGATACTAATGCTAGGTCTGATCTACTAAGAAAATGGCCTACTATCTAACTTCCCCAGTGTGGACTAGAGTCAAATCAGAACCAAGGGATTGGAGAAGGGATCATACTTTTAGTTGCTTTCTTATACTTAACTACTTATACTTACCTATAATCATTCACATTTAGTGACAAAGGAAAAGAGAGCCATGATTTTGATGTCATCAAAGCATGGAAGGAAAAGCCTTTGAGTAGGGATGGTAGTGGGAAAGAGAGGCTGTTGAGGTGAGGCTGTGCCACAGAGGAAAACAGAGACTCTTAGAGGATGTACAAACCTCAGAGTGATTCTTAGGAACCTGGAAGATGAAAGGAAAAGGCAGAACCAGAGACATTAAACAAGGAAGTTGAAACCAAGTAAGCCAGATACATAAATGTGGCATACGCACAACACACAACTGTGCACATATAATTTCTGTTTCCAGAGGAGACAGAAGAAAAATTCCCAGCTACATATACCCTAGGAGTGATTGGCTGGGAGTTATGGCCCCCAATTCACAATTTTTCAAGGTAACTGTAAATTGAAAACCGCCTCTTAATATATTTACAGCTCTTATTTCTCAGTTACAAATTAGGACAACTAGAAGTAACTGCTTCATTGAGTTGAATATTAAATAGGTAATTCATATAAAATGTTCAGCAGTATGGTTGGCACCCTTAATATACCATGCACGCCGGCAATTATTGTTGGACAGTAATTCAGTTAATCCAAGCACTTTATGAGTGCCTACTATATGCCAGATATTCTGCTAGATTGAATAAGGGTTGATTTTGTCTTCAAAATGTAGAAAAGATATTTTTTATATCTTTTGATGAAAAATTATCACATTAATAAATGACTTAAGCAAGCCACTATAATACAACCCAGACTAGCAGTCTCAGGTGAATAGATAGCTGAGGGTCAATAGTTAGCTGTTTATTCTTCCTCAGCAGTTGACTCCAATTCAAACCTGCAGGTTAGAACAAAACAGGAGAACTGGTAAAAGGGAGAGTTGGGAAAAATTGTGAAAATATCTAATGTGACTAATATGTATAAGGAGTTAGAGAGGAAAGGTGGAAACACCACTTTAAGCTGTACTGAAGAATTAAAATTTCCTTCTTCAAGCCTTGGGAGAGCATCTGACGAGCTATATGTCAGAGCTACTATGGGAGACAGGAAACAGCCTGGAGGAGGCTAGACCTCCCAGAAGCCTGCGGGGAATGAGTCTTTCTCTTCATCACTTGATTGTGCCCCCACGATGGGGTCCAAGCAGTTTTAAGTAGGGTTGGTCACATAATGGACTCAGCAGACCAGGCCCTTTCCCTCACTGCTGGGCATAAACGGATGATTTTTAAGGCCAACAAGTAAACAGGCTCATAAACAAGACCGCCAGCTGTACAAAGGGTAAACATAAAAGGTTATGAAATAGGGTAAGGTGGTCAGGAAGGGCTTCTCTAAACCTTTCTGGGAAAACAGACTAAGTGCAGAGGAAGGAGACAGACATTTATTGGGCGGGGTTGGGGAGTCATCAAAGATCTTCAAAGCTCTTGAAATTATTTTCAGTGTTTGTTATGTATGTTTTTCTAGAAGATAAAAGGGCAGTGCTCCCAACCATAAAAGAGCCAGTGTATTTCTATGCTTGTTGAACCTTTTGGAATTTGAGTCTAGAGCCTGGTGTTCAATCAGACTAAGTATTGTCAACAAACAATTTTTAAAAATCTCCTCCAAGCTGGACATGGTGACACAACTCTTTAATCCAAGCACTCAGCAGCTTGGAAGGCAGAGATCTCTCTGAGTTTGAGGCCAGCCTGGTCTACACAGCAGGTTCCAGACTACCCAGGACTACAGAGAGGAAACCCTGTCTCAAAACCAAAACAAACAAAACCCCTCAAATGTCATTACTTTATTATACTGGCATTTTTAATAGTCATTTACTTATATAGAGAATGGCTCTTAAAATTTTTTTCTATACCAAACTGTTCTGAAAAAAGGCACTTACTTATATGTGTGTAAGTTCTAATTATACTATATAAAATTTATATATATATATTATTTACCTCTTTTCCACTTAATTTGTAGAGGTGGCAGGAGATGCTCATTCGGGGTTACAAAACTGGACTCTTATAACATAAATGTATCCTAGACAGGCTAGGTATATTGGAATAGAGGTCTGTGAACCAGGACCTGGGTATCACAGGCCTACTGGCCACTTCAAGAGTCCTCAGCCACACCCAGAGAAGGCCTGTGGAGCCTCACCAGGGCCAAGAAGACCCACAGGTCGCTAGGAAGCCCAGAACCTAGGGAAGGAAAGTAACGAAGGAATGCCCAGGGAAGCCCTAAAGAGCCTAAAATGTTCCCAAAATTGGGGGCCCGGGAAGGACCAGGAATGATCAAAAAGACTCCAGGAGTTTCCCAGAGGGCTAAGAAGGACTAGTAAGGCCCGGATGGATCTTGGGGAAGGCAGTGGGGAGCAGGGGCCCCACAGGGGTAGGGCACTGGGGATGTCAGATTGGCTGGACCGCCTGCAGGGCACCTGGGGCTTGGGACAGCGCCCCTGCGGGCCTGGAGTCCCCCCAAGAGGCTCGGGGCTGGGTGGAACATGGAGCGGCGGGGACAGCCGCGCTCCGAGCTCCGAAGTAGTTGCTGGGCGACGCGTCCTCGCCCGGCCTGGCCCGGGTGCGACCCCGCCGGGGGCGCCCGTGGCCCGCAGCCGCCTCTCTCCCT